GGGGGGGGCGGGGCAGGCCTGACCCGGCGGGCCTCAGTGGGTAGAGAGTCGGGTGGGTGTGCCCCGGGCCCGCGGGTTCCAACTGGCCCCGAGTGGGGGGCCTGGGAGCAGGCTCTGCCGCCTGCATCGCTGCTGCGTCCCGTGGGGCCTGCGCTGCTTGCCATAAAGGCGCTGTGCGGGAGTATGCGCTCTGGCTCCCAGCCCTGCCGGCCGAGCCCGGGTCCGGGGCGGCCGCCGACCGTCTGTTTGGATGCTCTGCGCCTCGGGGGGCCTCTGTGCCGCGCAGTCAAGCCCCGGAAGGCAGCAGAGCGAAGGGTGCCTGCCTCTGTTCCAGGCCCCTGATTCGGATTCTCCTAGGCTGGGGCTGTCATTCTCCTTGTGGCGTTTTAGCTTACGGTGCAGAATGGAACCCGTAGGTGTCTTTGTGTGTGTGTGTGTGTGTGTGTGTGTGTGTGTGTGTGCGCGCGCGCTCGCGCGTGATGGTGGTGGTATGTTTATCTTCCAGAATTTCACAGATTGTTATCGAGCACTTAATGGGGCATTATAAGTCCAGTAAAGGGTCATGGAGGAAAATTGGTTACTTACTGGTTATGAGGTATCGGACAAGTGTTTAATGTCTGGGTCCCTAGGTTCTCACATAATTAAACTTTTCCTCATGTGGTTGTTATGGGTGCAATAAGAGGAGACTTCAAGGACAGTGCCTATATTTGTTCCTGCTCATTGCTTTCAAGTTATTAATTAAATAAATATTGGGCACCACCCACATGCTAGGCACAGAAGATACAATATTGACCAAAATCAGCCAAGTTCTTGAACTTGGAAAGAGCTCTTGGGCAGAGGCGAAAACCATACACATTTTCCAACCTAAGACTTGTAATCTTTTTTAATTTTTTTGAGTTGGGAGTCTCACTCTGTCACCCAGACTGGAGTGCAGTGGCCGCTCCCGACCACCGCAGCCTTGACCTGCTGGGCTCCGGCGATCCTGCTGACTCAGCCTTCCAAGTAGCTGGAATTACAGGGGCGCACTACCACGCCCGGCTAATTTTTGTATTTATTGTAGAGATGAGGTCTCGCCAAGTTGCCCAGGCGGGTCTTGAACCCACGGGCTCAGACAATCCACTCACCTCAGCTTCCCAAGGCGCGGGATTACAGGCTGAGCCACCAAACCCAGCTAGGACTTGTAATCTTAATGAACGAAGTGGATGGGTGTTCTACAAAAGATGGAAGTAGGTTGGAAAGTGTTGCCATGTAGGAGTGATGGCCTACAGATAACAGATAATCAATTTTTAAAATAGACTTTAGAAATTGTTATTTTTGTGAAATTTCGCAATTTTAGCTACTAATTCAAAAGATCTTTAAATACTATGAGCTCAACAAAAAAAAATTGTAGGCTGTCTTCAACCCCTTGCCTACTGATTTGCAACCTCTGGTGTAGACTGAAAGACATGAATCAAATATGGAACAAACAGAAGTAAAATTGTGTCCACGAAGGGGAGAACAGGGTGCTCTCTGAGCCTATAAAAGTCTTTGGCCTAGTCAGAAAAGTCTTCCCACATGAAGAGGCTATTGAGATCTGAAGGATAAGTAGATGTCAACTAAGTGAAGAGGGGATTGAGCAATATTCTAGGCAGAAGGAACAGCACGTGGAAAGGTCAGTGGTGAGAAGGAGCATGATGACGAGAAAAGGCCCTGTGTGTCTGTAGCTTAATGAACCAAGCAGAGTATCCTGTGAAATAAGCCTGGAGAAGTAGACATGGGTGGGAGTCAAATTACAGACCACCTTAAGGATTTTTATTTTTATCCCAAGATCTATGGGAAACCATGAATGAATTTTAAGTAGGAGAGTGACATGTGATTAGATTTGTGTTGACACTGCCCTGTGGAGGCTGTAGTGCAATTTAATTAGATGCAGGAGTATAGTTAGGAGGCTATAATCCAAGGCCAGGATGATGGTGACCTGGACTAGAGTAATGAAAGTAGAGATGGAGAGAAGTGTATTATATTGATCTACTAATCTGTTACTTGTGAATGACAATGTCACAGTCAATGGCAGTGACTTATATTTGTTTCTCTTTAATGCTTAGAATAGTATCTGAAACAGTTAGAAATTTAACAAGTTCTGTTCAGCTAAACTGTTGAACTTTTAGGATTGTGTTTTATTATAGATTCCTAATCATACAAAATTCCAGAAATGGAAACTTTACATATACAAATGCCCATACTAAGAAAAATTCTCTGCCACTGGACTTTCTTTTCTGTCTTTTACTTTTTGTTGTCTTCTGCAGAGAAGATGAACCATATATGGATGTATTACATGCTAAAAAAATGTTACTGATGCATTGTAGAAAATAAAACTAGAAGTCTCAGAGGAAACAAAGGACCTTCTGTATTAAAGTTGAATTAAGCCGGGCTTGGTGGCTCAGCCTATAATCCCGCGCCTTTGGGAGGCTGAGGTGAGTGGATTGCCTGAACCCACGGGTTCGAGACCCGCCTGGGCAGGCACGACCTCATCTCTACAATAACATCAAAAAATTAGCTGAGCATGGTAGCATGTGCCTGTAATTCCGGCTACTCGGAAGGCTGAGGCGGAAGGATCGTCGGAGCCCAGCAGGTCGAGGCTGCGGTGGCCGGAAGCGGCCACTGCACTCCAGTCTGGGCAACAGAGTGAGACTCCAACTCAAAAAATAAATAAATGAATAAATAAATAAGTTGAATTAAAGTTGTTAACCATGTTCACATGTGTTTTCCTACAGGCAAGAAATTCAAAGAGGATGCCTGGGACTTTTGTGCAGAAATACAATTTATAATATACTGGTTCATTTTCTGCTTGTACAGCATTTACTACAAATGTAAACTAGATTTTCTCTCCCCCTCTTTGTATTGTAGAAGAAACTGTTCCCTTCTCATATCTTTTTAAATTAAAAAAATTTTTTTTTGAGTTGGAGTCTCACTCTATCACCCAGGCTGGAGTGCAGTGGCATGCCCATGGCTACCCCAGCATTGGCCTGCTGGACTCCAGCGATCCTTCTGCCTCAGCCTTCCAAGTAGCTGAAACTACAGGTGTGCTCTACTGTGTCTGGCTAATTTTTTATTTATTGTAGAGATGAGGTCTCGCCAAATTGCCCAGGCTGGTCTTGAACCTGCAGGCTCAGGCAATCCACCCACCTCGGCCTCCCAGTGCTGGGGTTACAGGTTGGGCCACTGAGCCCAGCCTCATATCTTTTAATAAACTTTTATATATATATATAACAAATACTTATGAAATCTTCATTGTGAGCCGGGCTCAGTGGCTCAGCCTATAATCCCGCACTTTTGGGAGGCTGAGGTGAGTGGATTGCCTGAGCCCACAGGTTCGAGAC